TTAACGCAGTAACCTCAAATCCGTTGATTGAAATCTTCTTATAGTACTTGCCGTTTGCAGATTTCGTCACGCTGTAGGTGTTCTTCGGTGATACCTGCTTTCTCGGGCATCGCAACGCGATGTGTCCATACTCACGACATTCGAAACACTTCATGCCCTTGTCTTTCGTTGGGCAGTCCGCAGTCAAGTGTGTCGCCGAACCACAGAAGTGACACCGTCTTTTACTTGTGTCGTTGCGCATCATGACAGCACCTCCTTCTCCTCTGGGTCCAGAGAATCGCCGTTTATCGTTATCCTTAGGTGTTACATTGCTGTCTGCCCGCCGTAACGTTATCTTGCCAAAGGCATCCAAAAGAGATATTGGTGCATCGAACTTCTGAATTCGCGCCTGGTCGCAAAGAGAAGCATCCGGGATCCCTTCGATAAGATAGTCTACCATCTCGTCAGCATCGATAGGTACACGGTTTGCTAGGATGGTTTTTTCGTGGAAATATTCACTAAATGGTTCGCTTCTTTTCCACACGCGTTCTTCGAATTTCTTTCGTCGTATTAGGTTGCTTGGTCGGTGGAAAAACATCGCTCTCAACTGGCTCAAGAAATTTTCAAAACCCATCTCTATCATCTCGGGTTTCGAGTGAAACCATTCGTTTGCCTTTTCCTTCAATCTCAGGCCTACTAAAACCTTCGCTTCGTTGTCGTCAAGCTTGTACATCGTTTTCAATAGTCGCACCTGTCTTTCTCACTTCTCATAAGAATCACTATTTCCATGGAAGCAATCTAATAAGCTCGCAATGGCAGTTATGCTCATCTCCGACCGGTCCGTCAAATTACTCGTCGCTGACATCCTTCTTCATCCAAACTGCGCCTCCGAGCTTCACATAGTTGTTCCATCTCACGCCGCGTGAGCGCAAGTTCTCGCTCAGCTAATTCGGCTTGCCTCTTTACGAAATACAACTCACGTGGATCACACTGCATCGTTGCTGCTTTGGAAGGGAACGCTATCGAACCTTCGACGTTTTCACTGGTTGCAGGGATTTCATCGCTTCGCTCGTCGTTGTCCTGCATCCATTCGCCTGTAGGAATTTTTTCTATAAGCCTAGTAAATAGTTCGGCTTTCGTTCCACTCGTAGATATTCCGTAGAATTTACACTTCTCCTTTAGTGTTTGCAACGAAAAATCGTTTACGGTCTTCATTTGGCTTCGTCCTTGATACTCGTATAATTCGCGACACAACTTTATGCACGACCGACAACTTCGACAAGTATGCACCGTTACTACGCACTTTCAACTCAACTGCGACGCGCTTGCTACAATCTATTTGGCTCAATCCCGGCTGAGCCCCAAATTTATGTGGGATTGATAAGATGGTTTAATAGATCGTAGGGTTACATATGTTTAATACGGACCATATACATTCAATACAAAATAAATCTCTACGCAAATGACTCGACGACTACCACGCTACAGACGACTCTCCACGACTAACTGTCGACGCTGATGTGTCGTTCTTTTATAGCTATCCCAAAAACAAAAGTCGGTCTCGCATAAAGAGGAAATCATTCCTTTTACTATCCGCCGCTTACCGCTGGCTATTCGATATGTTCGTGCCGCTGAAACGCTATCGGCGCGCACGATCGTTACGGCTGCCGCGATTACAGATCACACGTTCCGACAATCGCTTCCGACGTTCATACTCCGATACTACATATAAAGAAATATTTTTTTAAATTTGTAAAATAAGCTGTAAAATTATGAATTTATAAATAAAAAAAGTGATTTCTTTGATTTAAAATATCTATACAGGGTGTCCCGAAGTCCCATGATGACCCTTGGTGAGAACGTAGAACGGATTGAGGTGAGCAAGAAAGTCCTGTACCGTTTTGCGATATTCGCAATAGTTTTTGAGAAATTAATTATTTTGTCTCAACAAATCAGCGTACAGAAAGCGGCAGCGGAAAGAAAGATGCCTTCGGCCGACGTGCGACCGTGACACTCGCGAATCGTATCTCGCCGCATCC